AACAAATCTCAGAGGAACGAAGAGATAAATCTGGAACCCTAGATTCCCTTCTAGGAGCAGATGAAGTTTTACTGTACAGGAAAGGAGATTAGTTTTTTTCCATTTTCATTTATTTATTTTCCCAACTTTCTAGTACTCCAAGCCAATTAATACAAGTTTGACTAAATTGAAAAAATTATTTTCTTAGTACTATAAGACATGGTAGAAGAAATTATTTTTCTTACTTTTAAAAAAATTTGTCTTGACATTTAAACAAAAAATGAGTGTCCAACAAATAATGTTGATGTTGATAACTATTTATGAATTTAGCAAGTCCACAAGATCAAATTCACGAATCCTGAATTATTATTGTTTTTGCTTAATTTCTTAGTTATTTTGCATAATTTGGATTGTATATTTGTTTCGAACAAGATATTTTTGCAAAATTTGGATCATATGAAATGCACATCACTATAACAACACACAATACAGATTAACAAGTTATTGTAAATGGTAAATTCTTTTCGGTTCAATGTTAGAAAAAGGAAAATTTGTGGAAATTAACATGAAAAATGCTAGTTCCTCACTGCGTATATATATATATCAACATAATAAATGTTGTACTTTTACCGAACTTGTACATTTCAATTTTTCAATAAGCTCATAATAACTCTATATTAATTACTATCTTTTTAGTTTTTGTGAACAAGTCCATATATTGGCACAAGAATAACGCAACAATATACTGTACATATGAAATTTGATTACACTTTTACCAAACTAATCATATAGTACTACATAATCATTGTTTCCCAAAAACATGTATACTTTTAAAAATACTATTTATTTTCCGATAAGAGAGACCTCATTTATGCTGTGCGTATACAGGCAAAGAAGTAACTTAGACAAAACATTTTTCTGGTTACAATAACAGTTACCAAAACCTCATAATTAATGCATAATGCTTATAGATAGACTAAAAAAGAACTAGAAGTTTCTAGAATTTCTGAAGAACGACCGAGTTGGCTAGACCAGCCTGTTCAATGGTCTGAGAGAGGTCAGTCAAGGGCGTTGGTGGGAAGCCCATTGTCTGAAGCTGGTAGTTAACTGGAGCTCCAGGTCGAGATGAGTCAATGAAAGCGCGAATGTCGTTAACCGTGTGATGGTGATTGAACTTAGCCACAAGACGAGTCCCATCCGCTAGTCTAATCTGGATCGATGTGGTTGGAATGGTTTCATCTACTACAAAAGTTGGAGATGGTCCTGGTGCTGCTGCTAAACTGGTTAGGTTGGTTTGGACGGGAATGGCGTCGGAATCTGGAGCCCTTGCAGAGCTACTTCCGCTGCTGTCGTTGCTACCACCTAGAGTTCTTCCAACACCCTGAAACGAAACCCTACGCTTCTTCTCTTGTTCCTACGATGAGAAAACAAGACCGGTAACTCGATTAAGGACTTACATTTTCATGATGATGCAAAACATATAAAAGCCGATTCAGGACAGAAAGATGACTCACTGGGCATTTCTCTTCCCTTCGCATCAGATTGACATGTACCGGGGCTCTTTTATCTGCAGGCTCAAGCTCTTTCGGGCACTCAGACTTTCGAATGCTCTACAAGAATCGAAACAGAACACAAGCTTAATCAATCGCAGAAAACAGTTTCAAATAAAACTCAATTAACCTATTAATTCACCTCGAGAAAAGAAGCATTCTCTGGATCATCCAACTTCCTCAAAGGACCATCATCAATGGTAAATCCATTAGACCAGAAAACAATGTTGTGAACCACAGGCTCAGGCTGTTGAATTCCAGTCGGCACGTGTTCTCCGGAAAGCAATCTCCCGGTTCCAGTGAAACTCCTAGAACTTGTAGGAGGCTCAAGAGGTCCTTCCACAGCTCCTAGCTGTCTAGCTTGATTGAATATCTCATCAACATCATCTTTTTTCGATGGATCCTGAACAAGCATACCACTGCAAGAAGAATCACATATAAACAATTAAACAGTTTCAACATTTCCAATAACCATAAATTGAGTTTGACTAAGTTAGGTTACTATTAAAGTGTTATCTTCAATTTTTGATCCAACTGAACAATTTGTAGACAGTTTCAGAATTTACATGAACCCTAAAATTGAGATACTACTGAGATAGATTACAATTACTATGTTCCTTCTACATCGATCCAGAGAACTATAATCAAATTTTGATCAAATTGAACAATTTCAAAACTGGATAATGAAAAACAATCGTGCGAATCATAATAATCATCTAATTCGGTACCTCCAGATCCAAAAGCGACTATGGAAACTATTCTCATACTTTGATCACAATTAGTATCAAAAACTCAAATAAGTCGAGAATTCGAAACCAGGCTGAAGATTTTAAACGAACGACTGACTGACCTTTTCTCGCCGCCGGTGTAATACTCCTGAGGACCGTCGGAATCACTGTCGGAGTCAGGTCCAGACCTTCGATTGAGATCGGAAAGAGTACGGACTCCACCAGCTCGATTACCCGATGGCCTCGCTGGTTTCTTATCCTTCGAAGACATTGTTTCTCTCTTCGATTTGCACAAAACAGAAAACGATTTTAAGA